ATAGTAAAAGTCAAGATGTTTGAGTTTATGAAAAGTCACAGGATCACCTATGAATTTCTAATGATCTAATCTAATGGCAATCCATCCAATAGCTGTTGAAATATTTCCGTAAGGAACAAAGTGATGGACTGACTGTTAAAGACTAATATTGCCATTCATAGTGCCACATCGCCAGCATGACTATTAAAAATGACAGGCTCAGACAGGCTGAGGGAGTTGGAAATGAGAGACAGCCTAACACTCGATTTTGGTCTCTTCAGGGGATTTTGTGAACACCAGCATTTACTAGGTTGGAGGACTTCAACATAGGCAGTGTAAGTGGTATTTTACAGCCATATGTGAATTTGGTAGGTGTGATCTGAGGCCTGCCTGTGGCTTGTGGTCTGAATGAGATGAGGTTTGAAGGGTTTGTTACACGACACCCAGCAGAAATCTACTTTGTGACTACGCAAACTGGCTCACAGATATGGTGAGCCGTGTTGGCAGCAGCTCGTTGCAGTGTTTTCGTAGTTGTTGCATGTAAGCAATAATATTGTTCTCGGGTAAATGCAGAGTTACGGAAATGTTGTGTCTGTATTTTGTAGAAGCCAAGCTGTCCATCAGGCTATGTATGCTGTAACTTGTCATAAAGGACAAGTCAATGAAGGAAACCACCTGAGATGCTGCCCCGACTAATCTCCTCCTTATGGAAATACACACAGAGCTTTGAGTTAATTGAGGGGAAAAAGACAGACAGTGTAGTCAGCACATTACTCAGTTGATGAACGACCAAAATGTATTGTTTGCATCATCTGAGTGCCTTTTTCAAACTAAGTCCGCTGTGGCTGAAGCACAAACTCTCCTCTGTGCACGCGTCACTGGGCTGAGAAATACACAGTGGTAATTTGGGGGTGACTGTTTATTTACACTTGGTTTCTGGTGTCTTTCTAGCTGTCTTAGAGCTACTTTGTCTTTCTATTTGTAGTGTCTCGCCATCTGGAAACTGTGGCCGGAAAGGCAGACAAAACAAAAACAGTTGGACAAGTTGCTCATTCACTGACTCTTTGCACAATGTTTTTGTAAGCAGTGTAATGTGGAGAAAAGAGACGACAGAAACCAGGTTTTTCACATCGAGCCTACTGAATCACTACTGGTCTAATCAGATATTTGCTTTGCCAGAAATTCTGTTTTGATGATATATAGGCCAGTTATCCCTGACATGCTGTGGTTATGAACTAATCCTCTACACAACAGTGGTTCCCAACCTTTTTTTTTGTCTGATGTGTCGCCAGATCCCTATCAGAAGAGCTCAAGTACTTCTTCATCAGCACCAGATGTGTTCATTTCGGTTGAGTTTAAAGAGAAGTGTTAAGTAACGCGACAAAAAAGTTGTTGCAGTCATTTTTTCATTTAGTTGACATGTCAGAATTTAGGTTGAATTTGGACAAAGTTTACATTTGAATTACTACCATGTATCCATTACTTTCAGCTAACTATTTTAACTATGTTTCCATTACATTTAGCTAATTATTTCAACCTTTAATCCATTACTTTTGTCTAACTATATCGACTTCTAGTTTACTAACTGACTTTCCTGCACGCTCAGTGGCTTTAAGGATTCACGACTGCCTCAGGTTGGTGCGAGGTGTGTGCTGTTCAGTCAGCCTATTGTAGCTTTTAATTTATTAGTAAATGTAACAATAAATTTGAATAGATATATTTTTTAATCAAATCATGATTTCTTTTCGTTTGTTTTTTTCTTTTCTTTTTTTTTAAGCTTCTCCACAATCATTCCACGTCCCCTCTGCTAACTGCAGGGGGGACGTGGATTGTTGTTGTTCTTCCAGATAGATCAGTGAGCCAAGAGGATGCGGGACAAACTCCACACAACTTTGGACATCTCTCTTATCCTTCCTTCCTGTTGTCCTCTATCATTTCTGGTGTAAGGCTGATGCAAGACAATGTATACCATCTCACTCAACTGTGACTCAACCAATTAGACCCTGAGGGTTTTAGTCTGAGAGGATATGGGTCTTTTTTTATCATTTCCTCTTCTGTTTAATCATTGCTGATGAATCTATTGAATGTTTCTCTAATTATATTTGGGTGTTTTTTTCAATCCTTTTAGACTTATTCCAATGGAAGTTTGTCTGTGGAATCACTAATTAAGAATATACATTATATATTCAGTCCAATATTTGTATGTTTCAGCTGCTTTATTGTCTGACTCAAACCCATAGTTTTAAGCATGTTTTTAAAGTGAGCAGCTAAAATTCATTTCACTTCCCAAACATTAGCCCGATGAGAGACTTGCCGATTACGTTACTAATCGTGCAGAAAGGGAACCATTGTGTGAGGCCATAAGAGTCGGTTTAGCGTCCAACAAGTGTTCTCTAACTTTGGGCTCTGACATCTAGACCAGCTGGACCAGCAGCTGCCACCTGGCTAATCCTGCCACACTGTTCTGGATTCACATGGCACAGAGAGCAGGCAGTGCTGGTGTGTGTTTGTGTGGCACTAATTCCTGCCTCTCTCTCATTTAATTTTTTACCCTTCACGTTCTCATGCAGTCATTCCCTGGTCAAAAACGTACGGTGATGGTACTTTGGTTCTCGTCACTGAGCTGCTGTAACAGTATCACACATGAGGAGTTTGGCACTTTGGGGGATGACCAACACTAGTAAAGTATTTTCCCATGGGTCCATTAGGCCTCCGACTGCCTTGACAGCTACTCTCATTACCTAAATGTGATAACTAAAGGATATTGATATAACTGATGGTCCTACTCTGTCATCGGCGTCTCAGCGTGGTGAGCTCAGTTGGAACGGTTACTCATTTTAATTAATATGACTTATTGAAACAGATACAATATCGTAAAATAAGAATATAGAAAATTCAAAACAGAACATAACTATCAGAGCTTTATCTGCTGACTGTCACTTTATTAACAATAGGTAGTAAAATGTACAATATACAGTTTGGAGATTTTAGAGCTTTATTATCTGAGTTTTTTTTTTTTTTATGACGTTTGTAATTGTTTTTGTTGCTTCCAGCTTGCTGCCTGACTAAATCAAGTTATTGTACCAAGCGTGATATTTACAGTAAGATCAGAATCTTGATATGTTTTTCACCAATTATTCTTCAGTCTGCCCTCTGTGATCTTTTCTTTTGAGTGAACTTCTACCTCTGCTCAGCTTATAAAAATGAACAGAGTGAAAAACACCAACAAAACAAATTATGAAAGAAACACAAGAAGTAAAGTGGGTGATAAAAAGATCAACATGTTCCAATGTTGACCAATCTCTCAACAGATTTGCTCTGCTGTACTGTGGGTCCTTTTAATCTCGCAGTCGACAGTTCCACTGAAACAACTTCTAACAATAACTTTTTCCACTGGTTAAGAGGGACAGAGTGTGGCGGTTACTACATAAGTGCTGACATTATTCTTTTCAGCAGCACACCATTCCTTACATAAATGTTTTAACTTTAAAGTTAAAGTTAATACATCATCCTTAGTGGAGATTTTTTTTTTGTACATCAAGGAATATTTGCTATTTGGCAGGTAGTTAGTAACCTGTTCCCAAAAGGATTTGACCATGAGGGAATACTTCTTTAATTTTCCCTCTGAAAGACAAGGGGAATTCACATCATGGATGTAATAGTTGTATGTGACAAACTGCACTATGAACTAGATTTGAATGTGATGATATTTTTGTCCGTGAACAGAAACTGCAAATTATGTCCATGTCTCTCTCGTCTTGAACCAGACTTAAGCATGGCGATGGAGACTCGACGTTACTCCGAAGATGAAGTGTTTATACTAACATGAGAGCACCTCGAGGATAAGGCACAATTTACCAGAATTTATGTTGTGTTTTATGCTGGAGTAGTTCTCAAACTGAAGTGGCCATTACTTCTGCAGGACAGTAATTTCTGTCCCAGCAGAGATGTACCGTCCCCGTGTTTTGTTGAAAGGAGAGGATGATACCCGTCATCTTATAGTAAAATATGTTTTAACTGTTGAGTTTAACACGGCTGGGAATATTCTATGTGTTTGTTATTGTCCAACAGCCCCGAGTTCTCAGGCCCAAGCCACATCATTTCTACTGAAGGTGCATTTCCATTTGGAATTTTTTGAAAAAACAATTTATGACATCTCCTCCTAAACACAGAGCACAACATTTTCTGTAGATCATCACTGGACCAAGCTCATGATGTCTTATTTAGTTTTCAAGATATTGACCAATAAATGTCACAAGGGACAGGGCTTAGCAGTAAATTGGCCATAACTCATTAACCATTTGTCCAATAATGGTAAATTGTGGTATGACGTATTCAGGCCATGTTTGGGAATATGCCTACTAAAGCATTTTGAGCCTGACCCATAGAGGGGCCACAAATACTGAAGACCTCAAAACCTGGTGGACAGAATCTCACCAAATTCGGTGCACATGCATCTGGGGGCAAGTATTAATCAAAAACTGAAGTCTGATATTGATTGATGCATGTGGGCGTGGCTTATTCATCATTATGTGGCATCTAACACATCACTTCCAACAGAAAATTAAGTCAGTAGGTTGATTGTGTTGCCATCACCCAATGGATATTTTGGGTGTTTTACCCCAGCAAGCATTCAGCTGACATAAAGCCCAACACAGTAAATGCTGCGGGATGAAGCCTACATTTACCTCTAACCATCGCTCGCCAAAAACAACTAAGCTTGGTTTCATTGTTCCGATTCTTGTGCCACTGACCGAATATGAGTCAGCATGCTGTGTTTGTTGTTATGGATCAACAAATCTTTTCCTGCTTATTTGCAATTTAGGTTTTCTCTGTTGGCTAATCACTCAGAGAGTGAACAAAGCATATTTTAATGGGTTTTATTTAGTCCATTTATTTCTTCTCAAAAGGGATTAGCATAACCCCAGATTGTTCTCATTTCTGATGTGCGTATTTTTGAAATGTGTTTACTGACCGTGTGTGTGTGTGTGTGTGTGTGTGTGTGTGTCTGTGTGTTTCAGTTTTCTGCTGGTGTTCAGCTGCTTGGTGTTGTCTGTGTTCTCCACCATCCGCGACCACCAGAAGGTTGCCAACCAAGGCCTCTTCATCCTGGTAAGACCCCGTCCCTCTGTCTCTCTTTCTCTCTCTCGCTCTCTCTCTCTCTCACACACACAAACACACACATTGACTACTTCAGCATCCATCATCATACCCTTTCATACACACCATCTCACTTACTGCAGTGTATGTGCTTGCATGCATGTTGTTTTGTTTGCCGGTGGAGGCGCAGACAGCCATGTAAGCAGGTGGGAGGATTCAGGTGTTGTTGACGGCGCAGGAAATCACAGACATGATCCACTAATCCTAATAGCTATCCCATAATCTCCCCTCTTCCTCTGTGCTCAAGCTGCTTTGTTGAAAGGTAACGGACGTTCGCTTTCTCCCTCCTTAACCGGACCTGTCCTCTGTCAACCCCCTCTCCCCCGACTCTCTCATTCCACCTTGCTCATCTTTACGTGTTATTTAATGGTTTGATTGACTTCCACATTCCGTCCGTTCACTCTTCCAATTAATCACTCAGCCATTAGCAGGCAATCAGCCATTAGTCGACTTTACTTACACGAACATTTGCTCTAACGACAGATTGGTTCAGTGCACCTTAAACTGCGCGCACAGTCCAAGAACCTGAGAGTAAGAAAGACAAAGAGAAAGAGAAAAGGCTGACAGAGTGGTGTGTTACCAGGCTGTGACTTTTATGGTATAACCTTTATGATTTGTTAATATTTGATTTAAGCTTCTGTTAAATAAGAAGTAAGTCCATTTAAGTCTTGAATATACAGTTCTTGCTTTGCAACATATCAGCCCTTATTTGATTAATTTTACCAATTACCAATTTTATCAATTAAACCTTTGACATAGCAAAGGTTTAATAGAGAGATCAAAGGGCATGTAAATCATGTGAAGAATATGCACGTCAGTTATCAGAGGAGTGGTGTGTTCATGCGCTAGAAATAAAGACTGGAAAACTGACATCCCAGCCTTGATGTTCATGCGACATACTGCGTACTTTGCTACTTTTTATGTCGCCACATTCACATGATCCTTTCCGCACCATTGATGTTTGCTTATTTTTTTTGTCCCCTCATTGTTTCACATCTCTTGTTGTTCAGCGTTTAATTGTGCATTTGATTGTGAGATTTCACGCGGTGTACTCTCCCATTCAACACAGGAAGTACACAGATGGCAAGCTGATGGAAAATGAGAACAATTCAAATGGATTTTTTTGATTTACTCTTGAAATTGTCACCAAGTCATAAACAGATTAAGATACTCATGAATGTTAATATGGCGCTTTAAATAAAATGGATAATTTGGATGCTCTGTTTAGAGGGACACCTTTCTTTTGAGAAATTGGTACACATGCTAAACTTTTGATATTAAATACTAAATGTAATGATTTAATGGAAACACCATGAAATGAAAGACTGTCACACTGGATTTCACTCTGACTTTTGAAAGGAAAAAAAATACACACATACAAAAAACGGGGGTAGGTGGGGGTCTATTTGTTTGGATGGTCTGTAAAACACTGCGCTCACTTGACCAGTGCACTTACCTGTCTCTCTCTCTCTCTTTGTGTGTTTGTGGTTTGTAGGAATTTGTGATGATTGTGGTGTTTGGGTTGGAGTACTTCATCAGGATCTGGGCTGCTGGCTGTTGCTGCAGATACCGTGGATGGCAGGGACGGCTGAGATTTGCCAGAAAGCCCTTTTGTGTCATAGGTTAGTGTGTGTTTGTGTGTGTGTGTGTGTGTGTGTGTGGACAGCACACAAACCCATGACAAAATGCCGTGTGTGTCCGTGTGAAAATTGTGACACCACCTTACCCTCATCTCCTCTCTATGTCTCCGTGGATTGAACTCCTTCCCTGTAGACTTCATAGTATTTGTGGCGTCGTTGGCAGTGATCGCTGCAGGTACGCAGGGTAACATCTTTGCCACCTCGGCACTGCGGAGCATGCGCTTCCTCCAGATTTTGCGGATGGTTCGTATGGACAGACGGGGAGGAACCTGGAAACTACTGGGCTCAGTGGTTTACGCACACAGCAAGGTGGGAATGAAAGCCTGCAAAATATATCCTCTTCTTACACCTGTTCCACTACAAAACTCACATTCTCTGGTTTATGTTTGAGAACATTTTACATTTATGGATAATGTCTTAGTTGTGCAAACATTCACAATTAAAAGAATACTAGTGCATGTTGGTTATATCCAGCATTATGGATTATTAATAAGTACAGGAAGGAGGTTGAGGGCTGTTAGTAAAAGGCTGGTGATGACTGTCATGATGGTTCCTAATGGGATGAATAACTTAATAACTTTCACTGTTGAGGAATAAGAGGTGAGGCTACTGACTCGATTGCCGTAAAACACCAAACTCCCCCGTAACTGCTCATCAACAGTTTTTTAGTATTTGTGCTGACTTAAACACCTGACATCCACTGGTCGGCTGCAGAACCCAGTTTAATGGTGGTGACGATGATGACTTGATGCATCAGCTGTCTAAGCAGAACTGCACAGCCAAGTCAAAGTAGAAACTAAATGTGATGATGTTGGGAATTTAGCCAATAACGATGGTAGTCTTACCGTAATGACAGGAGGGATTATGATGTTAAAGATGCTGCTGCTGCCGCTGACAGGTGTGATTGATACGTCCTCTTCGCCTCACTCTCTCCCAGGAGTTGATTACAGCCTGGTACATAGGTTTCCTGGTCCTGATCTTTGCCTCCTTCCTCGTCTACCTGGCAGAGAAAGACATCAACTCAGATTTCAACACCTATGCGGACTCCCTCTGGTGGGGGACTGTGAGTATTGCATAATGCACGCGTCACTCGCACACACGCACACAATCAGGCTTTTTGTAGCTTTGGTAATGATCCCTATTTGTGAGCAAAACCTTTTTAGAAGACTTGCCAGTGAGCGGTTGTCAGTCTGTGCATTCCAGATATTTTATATTCAGTATATTTTTATCCAAGCGATTGCAGGAGTGATAGCCAGAGCAATCTTAAAATAGTAATTTTAATATTTTTATCTTAGTAGACATAAATCCAGAAAATTACATCTTGTATCAACTTCAGATCGATACGGGAATCAGCATTCAAAAGTCACAGACGTGAATTTGGATTATAGACAGTTTTCATATTTAGCTAACACTCGATTCATGTGACTAGATTGTATAAATGTCAGGTGCAACTGGAGTGTAGAGTCATGCTAAATCTTTTGTGCAATGTTGTGTTTCTGTGAATAATGTTAGCTGGTGTACAAGGTTTTTAGACAAATGCAGGCTGTCACTACCCCCATGCAATTTGCATCATGTTAAACCCATCACATTGTCTTTACGCTCGCAGATTACTCTCACTACTATTGGCTATGGTGATAAGACCCCTCGTACCTGGCAGGGACGGCTCCTAGCTGCTGGCTTTGCTCTTCTGGGAGTCTCCTTCTTTGCCCTGCCTGCTGTAAGTCTTGTGGGTTATTTACTCATATCTTCGTCAGTGGCTCCTGTCTGCTTGGTTGCACTCTTAACTTAAATTTGACCTCTGACCCTCAGGGAATTCTGGGCTCAGGCTTTGCCTTGAAGGTTCAAGAGCAGCACCGGCAGAAGCACTTTGAGAAGAGGAGGATGCCTGCTGCCAACCTGATACAGGTAATGGCCACAGTGAGGGACATGAAGTCTTTATGTTACATGGTGTTTGATAAATTCAAGTGCAGAGTCAGGTAGGATGTTAACTTTCGCTTTGTGTTTCTGTTTTGTGTGTTTGTGGCTTTGTTTAGGCTGCATGGCGTCTCTACTCTACAGATCCCAAACACTCCTATCTAACAGCTACATGGTACTTCTATGACAGCATGTTGCCTTCGTTCAGGTAGGCGCTGCCATAACTCTACATGTTCAGCACTGAATGGATTCAACCATCTGAAAATCTGTAGTTGCCTTTGGTCATTTGTTTGAAGTGTAATAAATGCAGACAGAGATTTGAGAGTTGCATCACAAGAGGGTGAATTGTGAAAACTAGTATGTGATACTTTGTCTTCAGCTCATACTTTCATATCATTATAAACAAAACACAGATCACACCTGCATTTACCCATGAAGAACCCCTCTCAGTTTTTCTGCAGTGGAGGTTTTAATAAAAAGCAGTAGTGTTCTTTTCTCTATTACATTTTTAAATGATTATTTTAAATTAAACTTTGGCCCAGCCCTTTGAAATACCTCTGCCACCACTATTCAATTACATTTTCATCACTTTTGTTCTACACAGTGGTTTCTTATATTTTGCATTTATGTATTAATTTGACTAATTTTTTATTTGCTTAAAAGGAGGGGAACATGAGAAACACAAATAGAAACATGCATCTGTTTTATAGTAATGTCAAGTCAAAATGTTCACTTTGCTATATCTTAAATCTTCACGTTTTCACATATCATCTTATTAATCTCAAGTATCCCTCTTCTTTTGAGCATTTGGACCATTGATTTGGCCTTTTTGTGAGTTGTTCATTATTTGTTATTTTTTTGTTCATTTGTCATGTGTTGTTTTTTTTGTTGTCGTTTTTTTTGTGCACGTGGGGTGTCAGAGAACTGACGCTACTGTTCAGTCACCTCCAGCGACAGCGTAACACCAAGAAGGTTCTCCACAACTCCTACCACACGCTGCTGTCTGGGCTGCGGCCCTACAGCTCCCCCTACCTGTCGGGAGACAGGTACGCACACCGCCACCACTCATAACTTCACAGTGCACCCAGACAGGTGGCCAAAAGTCTACCTACACTCACACACAGTGGGGACATATAGAAGAGTACATTCAACAGGTGTACACGCACACAAACACACACACACACACACACACACACACACACACACTCACACACACACACACACACAAAATCAAGGCTGACTGCTTCCGGAGCTTTCTGCATGGACGTGTTATGTGTTTAACAATATTTCACTAATGTCCGATCTGAGACCACTGTGTTACAGGAACCCCTGCTTTTCAGCATCTTTGTCTGCTTAGCTCATACTCTTGCCATCTCCACCGCCTCCCGCTATTCACTCATCAGTTTCCTCTTCCTGTCTTCCTCTTTCTTTCCGTTTCTTTCCTTTGTGTCTTTTCCATGCCATCCATCCTCCATCCTTCATCTGTTCTCAGGAAGGCAGAAGGTCCATGCAGGTTTGTTCTTCTAGTCATGAGCTGTGCTTGTTGGTTTGAGGATATTCGTAATTAGGGTGAATTTGCTGCATTAGGCTCATAACTTTGTTTGCATAAACCTTTAACAAGCGCCATGGTAATAAAGGGCTGATTGTGTAAATGGTGTATATTGGACTTGTGCATGCATTAGATGAGAGAAGCACATTGGTGTATCTGAGTAATACAACTTCTGCTGGTGGAAATGTCCTCGATTTGAGGTTTGCCGCTCTAACACCATGTTGTTTAATGGGCTGTCTTGATGAATATACTCGGGTGAAACATTATAGCCCACTACTGTTGCATGATCCTTCCCCACCCAATCCTCACTGAGCGTGTCTCCATAATCCAAACCTGCCTCTCAGAAGTTTATTTTGTGGTTTTAGATAAGGGAACGAGAGCAGGAACGGAAAGGGCTATTTGGATTATTGAGATGTCACACCTCACCCTCTTTCTCTGGTTTTTCCTTTGCTACCTTTTATCCTCACGGGTTCACAGTGTACCCAGGTTTTGTCCCAGAACTTCTCGTCCTCCTTCACCCCCCCTCCCCCTCCACTCCTCTCCTCCCCTCACCCTCTCTCCCTCTGCCTTGTGTGTCTCCCCAGTCAACTCCTCTCTAAAAAGCGGGGTCTCTTCAGGATTCACGCTGGCCGCAAGCAGAGGTATCCACGGCAACGAGCCTGTGCACGGGGCACGCTAAAACTTCACCATTCGATAACACACACCACTCTTGCTCCTCTTATAATGCACACATCCCTTGCCTCACTTATGCACTCACTTTGCCTGAAACACTCAAAAATTTGTGGGCCGGTGCAGTGGCTTGATAAAAGTTTAGCGTTATTGTTAAAAAAATCAAACTTCTCACAGTTTGTGAGTTTCAGAGAGAAGAATTAGCTCAATTAAAATTGCCGGTAGAAGCAGATGCCCTGAAACGTATCTTATTTTCAATGATGATAGGCACTATACTCTGGTCCTCAAATGCTTGAGTGCATCATTTACCGTGAAGACATGTTGTGTTCTGTTTCACTAAGAGGGTGTTTCTCCAGCTTGGTCTTTATTGTGAGCACTGGAGAAACTGGGACTGAGTTTGGCTGCTTTGGCTTGAAGGTCATGATAAACCATGTGTTGAAAACACGACAGAAGTCCTTGATGTATTATGACTGTGACAAGATCGATACATGTGTTTTCCTTTCATCAAACGTCTCTGATGAAACGAGGAAACTATATATTCACTCAAAAATAAGCAACGACCTTTCACAAATTGAAATCGTTGAAGTCAAGGGAATCTCCCTTCCCTCCCTGTAGACTTGCTTCATGTTTTCAATTCAGTTGTTTGGTTGTTTTTGACTCTTCTTGAAAAGAAGGTTTAAATGATTCAGCATGCTTTTATATTTCATATTACTCTTATGAGCCTTTCTAACAAACCAGTATGTTTGTGCTGCATTTTTAAAAAGGTTTTTAAGGGTGAATGCTTTTGTCTGCATGTGCATATTTTTCAATGTTTTTTGAAAGAGTCAGTGAAATTTTATGGTCCCGAATGCATCCAAATCATTTACTTCCTTTCCCTACAGCATGCAAAGGTCGTTCACTCGATCTTCCCCCATTTACTCCAGTCTACCTGAAACATTTCAGCTTGCTCGTATGAAATGCTGTGTCCACTAACATCCCTTAACTATTTAAATTTTAATTCAAATGGCTTTGCTATAACACACGCACAACAAAGAGTATATATCATCGTAAAGATGCAGGAGTAAACGACTGGGCTGGAATTGCTCTGTGGTGCATGACGTTTGCATTTCCTTATGGATCCGTGACAGTGTGTAACATGTAAGTGGCTGCAGAGAAGGAGTGGTCTCCAGAGCATGCTACAACAGCAGCATCAGGGGTCAATCTGTTGGCGAGAATGGCCATCAAATAGCTTTTCTCCTGTAAATAGATGACGTCACCTATCGGGTTGTAGTGAGTGGTGTAGAGTACCTAATGAGACACGTTTTGTAGGGCTGCACTTTGAAGCCAATATTTTTGATGCTTATTCTCTCTGTTGAAGGGATTAAGGATGTGTGTCTTTGGTCTGATGGTAGGTGGAGCATTTTCCGCCGTCCCAGCACAACTGCAAGTCTTGAATCAGGTTTCAGTTTGATTTTGCTGAATCAGGTGCTATGATAGGCACATTAAATGAGCAGAATCAGTTTATGGCTGTATTGAGCGGTCCCTCAGGTCAAACTGCCTCCATGATAAATCAGCTCGTCTCTCTTTCATGGAGACAAAATGTAAATGTCTGTTTGTTTCCCTGTTTCGTCTGTTTGTTGATGAGTTTCTGTCTGTTATAAAAAAAAATCATAGGCCATATTTTTTGTGTTATTTCACTTTTACTAACAAACTTTTTTTCTAACAAGCTCAGGCTGCCCTTCTGCTGCATCCCTAAACTCCCAGGATAACACAGTTTAGTTTTCCATTAAGGTCAAACGCATGGACATTGTGATCATTGACAAAAACTCAGTGCCTTTCATGATCCGAACAGAATACTCTGCTTACAGAAGTTTGACTCTTTTATCTTCACTGTCAGCAGTAAAATGGGTTTCCGGGATCGGATCAGGATGAACAATTCCCGATCCTCCCAAACCATTCGGAACAAGGCATCACCGCTGCCCCCGGGCCCCGGTGTCAGACGCTCTCCCAGCCAGGAGAACGTCCCCGAGATGACCAGCCCGGGGAAGGTCCAGAAGAGCTGGAGCTTTAACGACCGCACACGCTTCCGCACCTCGCTTCGCCTCAAACCACGACCTCCTGCTGATGGTGGGCAGCACATAGACACACACACACACACACACACACACACACACACACACACACACACACACACACACACACACACACACACAAACACTTTTCATTAACATTCACAAGAATCTTTTAATTTAAATTTTGTCCCTGAATCTCTTCCCTCTACCTTGGTCCAGTGGAGGGAGTCGGGGAGGACAGTGTAGAAGACAAACCATATTATGACGTGGCCATGGAGGAGGTAATCCCAGCAGTGAAGACACTTATACGAGCTGTCAGGTGAGCCATTTCATTGCACTAACAACAAAAACTTTTTTTTCCAACTGATCACCAAACAAAAAGGAATAAGTGATACAATGTGCAGTTCTGTCTTTGTAGAACTAGATCAGACCTGCTGAAATTTGTTTTTTGGGTGATGGATCCTCTTGTATTGTAACACAAGAAAATGATTTCCTGTACACTTCAACCTTTGCGCAACCCCAATCATATACGATATACAAAATATACACAACTGTACTGTACTGAATTTTGTATTTTGTGTGTTAAATTTCTCAGCTTTTATGAGAAAAACTGAGGAAAGTGAGAAGTATCACCCTGGAAAGTTATTACATCAGCCCTTTTTTTGGTGTATGGATTCACACATGCCCGATAAGCCTTTTGCAATAAAACTACATAAAACATATATGAGTTATATGTGCTAGGCACAGAGCTGTTGTGCTGCTGGTCACCAGTGGAATAAGGTCACTTTGGTCACACAAACAACCCATGCATGTGTATTCAGACGATGGGCATTCTCATGATATTTATAGCCTGCATTAATAGGTGAACATGCTGCTCCCCCATTTAGGTGCAGGCGTGTGCAGATTCAGCTGACGGAGTACGAATGTCCACTTAGGAGAAGTAACTGAGCCTTCCTGCAGGCAGGGTTAGTTCCCCGGTCTGACCTTGTCGCTCAGCAAGCCCAGCTCATTCAGGCTGATCGTGTAAGGTGGCGTGATAGAGTTGTTTATCAGAGACCATGCGAGCAAATGCGCTCAGGAATACCGTAGAGATGAAAGATCACAGTACAGTACGATATACAGCTTAGACTCGGACAAATGTAATAACAACTGATTAAGAGCATTGATTTTGATCGTTGTCACTGTGTCATCTCTTTCTTTTATTCACCGTTCCTGTAGTATGTCAGTGGCAGATATCCTGTGAACAAAGAGTGTGAGTCTGTAAAGAAGTACTCTGTTGTCAAATCTATACCATGATTATTAAAATTAGGAATTAATTATAATGTGCAAAATGCAAAACTAGGCAACCTTCTGTGTTTAAAGGTATAGATATCCCACGGAAGATATATACCAACGATCACGACACGTACACCTAGATACCCCTACCTGACACAGTTACAGAATTACACACAGAGTAACAGCGTAGAGTTTTTCACTGATGGTGGCAGAAAAAACTACAACTGCTTGCAAACATCTGGTGTTGGGGCCAGGCTGGTCTCCAGGGGGGTCTGATGAGAGTGGATTATAACGACTCTCTTTTTGGTCCTGTGTGACAGCGACATACCCTCACAGGTTCTCTCATGATAGCGTGACGCTGTCTGTGTGGTTCCATATGATGCAATCTGTGCACCTTTTGAATGAAGAAGGTAGGATATAGTGTAGGTATGGGGCAACGTTAGGGATGTTGAAATTCAACTGCCCAGTCAAAATAGTCCCAAAATATTTTATAGGAATCTGGAGACCCAGAATAAAGTTTCATGTCCATCCCTGATTTTGTCTGATCATTCATTTTTATTAAAGCTGCAGTGATTCTTTCAGCTGCACTGATTGTAAACCCTAAAATTACATTATCGATGTACAGACATGAATTTGTGTATTGTCAGTACAGTTTAGTGATTCATGTAACATCATTCAGATTTGTTTTTTACATAATGAATGTTAAGCTGCAGTCATCCGTGTCTCCGGTGGCCCAGCTCCTGTTGTCCACATGTTGAAGTATCCAAGACACTGAACCCCAATTTGCTCCGTAAGGTTAGCCAAGTGCCTTGCATAAAGGCTCTGCTGCTATCAATGTGTGCTTGGGTGATTGAGAGACAAATTGTAAAGCACTCTGGGTAAAAGCACTATATAAATGCAGTCCATCCATTTATCTTCCTGTTTTCCATTTTACAAATGAACACATTGTCATGTTAGTAACACAAGTCAGCTGTCTGAACCAAGTGCTTTGTTAACACTTAACCCAAGGTTTCTCCTTCGTAGACATACAGCAAGTGGATATTTTCAGTTCCAGGGATGCAGCATGTATTGTTTGATATTGTTAGGCCGCTGATAGGGTATTATGTGATCTCTCCTCGGGTTTGCACTTGACTCAGCAAATAGCTCTGACCTCAGCGGCTCTGTGCTGCAGACAGTAGAAGAGAGGGAGTTCCTATAGATACTGCTGGTGTGTAAACAGCAGGTGCTTCACTGTGTTAACACGTACACATACTCATGCAGTGTCTTTGTAAGGTTCATGATTGATGTCTGTGAAACAGAATTTTGTAGCAGGCCGTAGTGCTGAAACTTCACTTTAGAGAGATGCGTGTGGTTTATCAGTGCCTGGCTGCCTGAATAAATGCGTCTGGTGCTCTGTTGATGTATGAAGGGATAGGTAGAGGGAGCAAGAGGAGAAGAGGAAGAGAATGGGGAAACAAGGTGTGATAGTTTTTGCACTGTCTCTACTGTGACTGTTCACACACACACAAATCCAATACTGCTTCTGCAAATTTCTGCATGTTTGCAGTCTCAGATGAAGTGCCCACTTTATTAAATAAATAGTTTGGACATACCTACTATTTATAACCATTTGATCTTTTGTCATCGTCATCAGTTTTTGTAGCGTTTCAGCTGTAATATTTTTAAACTCATATAATGTTAACGCAGTATATTTCTCCTTAAGAATGACTGAATACACATACTGTAGCGTGTGCATTAGATTTTGTTCACTTAGCAGGTAGGTAGTCTTATCTGACGATGGTCCAGACTTGCCCCTGCAGTGACTCAACCTACTTGGCCCACCTAGGATGCGTGTCATTTTTAAGTCACAGATAAAACCTTGCCATTTGAGAATGTCAGGAATCCACCTTTGCTGAATTGCAAAAACATTTGCTCTGTCTATGCAAGTATTTTATTGCACAGATGACACTTCCTGTCCCTCCAATCATCGCTGTGTTTTTACATCTCAACTTCCCAACATTAGGAAGGTATGATATCTTTCAGCGAGCAGTGCCAGCTGTACTGTACCACTGCCGGTGACTGTTGCGCTGTAGCTGGAAGTTTTCTGGGGGGCAGAGAGGGGCCCACACTCGGATCTAACCACGTATTATGAAAGCCATTTCATCGACTGAGAGAGAGAGTCAGCATTTTGAAGAAACCCTCGGAGGATCCAAATCAAAAGTCCCCACCCCACCCCCTCCTTCTCCCATTTCCCCAGCCTTTTCTTTTACCCGCACCTGAGACCCACCCTGGCAAAAAAATCTGCATCTACCTGCAAAATAAGAAAAAATACCGCCTGCAAAAATACCCCAAATGCAGGAGTCATCAAGAAACAGGAGTGCTGTGTGAGGGGGAAGAGTGCGCTGACGGCTGCTACGGCACCAGCTGTGGACCACCACTCCTCCTCCTCTCACTCCTCTTCTCCTTCGCTCGCACCTTCTCCTCTTCATTGTTGCAGCACCGGTCACTACACAAAACTGTGTGCTGTATGTGGCTGCGGTAAATGCAAGCGCTGCAGGCCTGGACAAAGGTTACAGTGGTTATTTCAGAAAATGACCCCTCTCTCACAAGTTCAGATTTCACTTGCTCCTGCTTAGCCTGTGCGTGGTTGTGTTACCGTAGTGTGTACGTACTTCTGAACGAGAGTGTGTAGTTGTACTCATGCATGCATTCGTGGCATTATATTTCTAGTGTGTGTGTGTGTGTTTGTGTGTGTATGTGATGTTTTCTTGAAACAGCTGAGAGTTTCAAGACCTTTGATGTGATTTCTTTTCTTCCTCCTGTGAAGGCAACTGGGAGTATTATAGTGGACTTAGTCATCTGGGTGTGAGAGATAGGATTTCCTCGTGAAAAAAAAAAAAAAAAAAAAAATCTCCTTCCTTGCCCTTCCTCCCTCCCCTGTTCCTCCTCACTCCTTCGTCTCTCCCAGTTTGACTTGTAGTGCAATCCATCACATGATGAGATGACAGCTTGAGTGTCTTTATTTTGTCTCGCTTACATTTGGTGTTTTTTCAGTCCTGCGGAGCCAGCATCTCTGAGCTGCCTATCGCATAAGTGATAAGAAGGGAATTGAATGACCCACCTAACACAGAGAGCCAGGCACTTCCAGACACACACATACACACACACACACTTAAACTTTCCTCCGCTTTCTTCCCACTGTTTCTTGCACATCCTCCACTCCCTCCAGCATGACGTCCAACCAGAGCGACTCTGGCTGAGGATGTTGTCAGTGATGTGTTCAGCGGGCACAGTAGTGCTGGGTCAACATTCCTCGGTGTGATTCCCCCCACAGTGGGACGTGGGTGGTGATGATGAGCTGTGTGCACTGGGAGTGGGAGCAGCTGTGGTCCACCAGTGGCTCCAACATGGCTGTAGAGAGGTGTGTGTGTCTGTGTGTGTGTGTGTGTGTGTGTGTGTGTGTGTGTGTGTGTGTGTGTGTGTGCGTGTGCTTGTGTGTGTGTATGCGTGTGTGTGTATGTGTGTGTTATTCCTATCTGTGGATGTGTGCTAATTGCTGAAACAGCAAGTACTGATAAGCAAATGTCTCTGGAAGATGTTGTCATCATCACATTATATCCATATGGTTTAGTAAGGGGGTGCTCTGCTCTCTTTATGAGGCTGTTTGTGAATGATAAGGTCACTGACTGTAATTAATCTTGTTATTCTCAGGGTGGGCTGCATCGTTTGATGGCTGTCCTGCCCCTGCATTTTTCCAAAGGTTTACTGTATGTCCATATATATGTGGTTGTGCGGTGTGGGGCTCTTTAAAGGCACCCAGAGGAGCGATAACAGTCTGGGCTTTTTGTTTTTGATGCCTTTTTTAGGATCTTAAAGTTCCTTGTGGCCAAGAGGAAGTTTAAGGAGACGCTGCGTCCGTATGATGTGAAGGACGTCATAGAGCAGTACTCTGCTGGACACCTGGACATGCTGGGCCGTATCAAGAGTCTTCAGATGCGGTGGGTTTCACACATTTAATTCCTACTGGTTTGTTGCTTCATAACTGAAGGAGATTTTTTTTTTTAAACTGGAGATAGAGATTCCTTTGTGTGCTCATGCAATGATTTGTTTTTGCTCTTTGTGCTGCTGCTTCCTTTAAAGATATTTACTTCCTTGCTAGGTCGTGTCTGAACTGTAAATATGAAGCTGCCACCAGCAGCTGGTTAGCTTAGCTTAGGATAGAAACTGGAAGCAGGGGGATGCAGTTCCTATGGCTCTCCTCATCTAGTTCGTGGCAAAAAAGCATTTAAGCGTTCTTATTCGCTGAATATAAAAAAAATGCCATGCTTTTGTCTTCCTCAAGTTTATTATTTATTTATTTATTATAATTTTATTGTGTTTGTGTGAAAGGGTGGACCAGATAATTGGACGAGGAACAGTTCAGCCCGATAAGAAGGCACGCCCTGAAAAAGGAGAGAAGACACCACCAGAACTGGACCCACTGGATGAGCTAAGCATGATGGGACGTGTAGTCAAGGTGGAGAAACAGGTAACTGTGCGATAGTTTGAGTTGTACAGGAAAACAGTGTTTTCTGTGTAATCATATACATCAGTCAGAAAATCTCAATGGATCGCTCTTACTCACTCTGGTGGATTAGAAAAGAAAAGCTGCCATAAAAAGTACAGGAAGTGCAATAAACTGAGAGCAGGAAATGATGTAATTTAACAGCTGCAGTCCCTGTTCCACTTAGTCAATGGGTTTTCTGTCATCGGTCTGTCTTAACTACAGCTCCCAAGAGGCTTTGGGGTTGTTTTTGAATGCTAAGAAATAATAAGGTATTGTGTTACCAGCACTCAGTACATTAGTAAATACCCATTTAGCCCCAGTGTCATCATCCATCTTATCAGAAACAGTAATGAAAGAAACTCCCTGCAGAAACCCCCCCCGCACTAACGTAGCCAGGATTTGGCAAAAACAAAATGTGAAAAAAACTTGCCACTTGTGTGTGTTTCCTTAGGTACAGTCCATAGAGAACAAGCTGGACCTCCTGCTCAATTTCTACTCCCAGTGCCTAAAGAAAGGTTCATCCCACTTTACCCTGTCCTCCCTCCTTGAGCCCGACCTGACATCTGACTACCACAGCCCTACGGACCAAAGAGACCTCTTCCCCTCTGCTAACACGCTCAACATCTCCCAGTCCGAAAGTGGCAACTTGGAATGACAGTGAGCTGAGTAATCTGGGGGCTGTTCGAACACAGACACAAACCCTTCGCAGTACTTCTTCCGTCAGCTGAGCCCTCACTCCGAGCAGCCCTCACTACATGTCTCCTCTTCCCTTCATTTCATTTTTTGTCTGCAACCCATCTCAAAACTGCATCCTCACCCATTTTCTTCGAGTGAATGTCTCTCCACAGCTGATTCAGACAGAGGCCACCAGATGGCTCCACCAGACAAGGAGCCTCAGCCAAAGCTGCTCACAGGAACCCCCCCCCCCTCAACCCACCAGATTAGGATGGAGATAAAGAGAGGACACATGAACAACTATTACTTGACTACTGAACCACTTTCACCCACTCACCTCATGCTTTATATCTATGCCTACTTTGAAGCTTCACCTTTAGATAATCAGATACTGTGAGCTTTGAGGTTTCACAAATCTTTGGAGACGACACCCCCCCCCCCCCCCCCCCCCATTCATCATTTCTGTTTTTTCTTGGCTGCTTGGATCAAACTGACTGAGAGTGTTCTGACTCAGTTGACAGTGCTGCACGTGCCATGCCACTCGTTTGTTCAGTACCTTAGGATGGCATCACAATTCTGATACTGTGATGAATGTAATGGGTACCACCTGCAGATATTGCATTCACACCATTGACCACACCAGACTGGGCTGACCTCACCAAAACAAACGGTACAACTTCCCACCCAACCAGGGAGTTCTAAATGTGTAAATCCTGCTTTAATCGCCCAAACCTGTCACATGAAAACAGAGCTGGAAGAAATGTGACTGATGTGTACTGTACATTGTTTTTGTTTTTGATCTCCTTTCTTCTCTCAGAAGTTCTTTCTCCCAACAGGCCCACTTGCAAAAAAACAAGACATTATTCCCTGTTTGGCTGGCATTCAAGTGAGGAATGTGCCCACTTGTTTAGGATTAACAGATCCAAAAATGTCCTATCACAGGTCTAAAATCCCTCCTTTGCAGCGTTTGAAAGGCTATTTGAGTATTCTAATAACTAGAATTTATGTTCTTAACATGATCTTTAAAACTCTGTCTTGCAGCCCACCCTCCAAACATGCATGATGCTCAGACGAATCCTGTAGATAAAACCTCACTGATCCTCAGAATTTAGACATTTCTTTTAGATATTCATTTTTGCACTTCTCCTCGTAACTCACATCAAGCCTCAGGTCAGGTTAATGTCAGCTGTGTTCAGGCAGTCAGTAATACTTCACAACCTTTCTTACAAGCAGGATACTTGTCGCTCTTACAGTCATCACATGGTACATGCACTTGCAGAGACTTTTTGCCAGTTTGGTGCAGTTTTAAACAACGAACAACCTGTAAGGTGTCCAGGTCCAGCGCATGAATTCCAGGCCATTATCCTCATGAATGCACGTGTCTTAGGAAATGGTTTCCGGCCTTACAGCTTCACTACAGACGAGACAGTGGTGCAGGGTTGGGCTTCAGTCATCACTTATAGGTGTCAACACTGACTGTCAATGCCAGTCCACTTTACTCTTGTCTGTCTTTTTTCTGTTTTTTTTCTTGGACATGTTTGTTGCACAGTAAAGGCTCCGTGCTTATGGACAAAAACTGGAGAGTGCACAAAGGCACACACACATACACACAATGAAAGCAATTTCTTTTACTTAAATACTTTGGCACTTGAATAAATATAACACATTTTTGTCATGTGTAACTTTATCATTTTGTTTTAATTTCTTTACTGTAACTATGTTGATGTATTCGATTTTGTGTAACCTATAACAGCAAATTTTCTATGTTTTTGTAATGATTTTTTTTTTGGTTGTTAAAGTGAATGTAGGGTTTAAGTTAATATATTTAATTCAGTTAGATATGATCTTAAAATAAATGTAGCAATTTTTGTCAAGCTAAATTCATGGATGACACAACTGTAACTAACACAGCTGATCAGGTTGACACGCACACGCTCGCAGAGCTTCATTTGTATTTTAAGCTCATATTTTTTTTAATGTCATCAGATAATTGCTGCCAGCTTCAACTAAGAAAACATTCATCATACTGTATTTGGCCAGTGAAAACAGTTCGTCTGTCCCTGCAAGTGATTCATTTATTTGGTTCAGTCAAGCCAGTTGACTCAGGTGCTCCACTTCTCCATTCAAGCCAAGCCTAGACTTCAAACAGTGAATGTACAGTACTTCATTTTGTCGGTCTCTTTAGATCTATTTATTTTAGATCGCTGCCATGAGGAATAAAATGGCACTTCGAGCTTGCTGTTGGCATTGTAAAATCTTTGCATTCATTTCAAAGAGAAATGCTAGGTAACTTTATTGTTTGATTTAAAATTATAACAGAGATGTCTCGTTATTAGAGGCGTTATTACTCTGAACAGTACTGTCACATCATTGTCACCTGGAATGTTGAGCTTCATGAAAAGTATGTGAGACCACTGTATTGCATGTTGTTGTTAGTAGTGCCCCAGTATTAGAAAAAAAAATAATGGTTGTCTTCTGTGAAGTCTTGAGTCAAGTAGAAGAAATGACCTGTGCCTTCTATGTCTCGTTCTGTAAACTGATACGGTGCGGCTTTCTATCTCAAACTTAAACTATTAATGCTGCTTTAAAGACAACAGTGTTTGATAGAAATATCACATGAGAATAGCCATTAGCTCTTTTTGGCAAAAATGTTGATCTAACTGAAGAAACTCTATCAAAATTGTTATGAACACATAGTTTTTAGGGATGTTAGTCTTTTATGACTGTTGCATCTTTGATATTTCTGAGAATTATTAATGTATATTCAGCATATCATTGTAAACCCTACCAGGACCTCTTTGTGTCGACGCCCTTACTGTATTTTAACACCTGTCAGATTTGGAGACTGGAGGCATGGACATTTGTATTGCAACAGGAAACTCTGCAGGCATGTCTCCTTTCATAAGCATGTCACTTAGACCAGAATGCTTCCACACAACTACTCTGAGGCCACTAGGGGCACTAGTCTAGGAAACCAAGTATGAAAAAACAGTAACTGATTGTCTAACTGACTGAATGCAATGCATGACTCAATCTGCACGTTCTCTTTTCTCTTCTTCACTCTGTTCTTTTCTTCATGACGTCCTTACCATCCATCGTTCACGTGACTTGCTGCCATTTGGACATTCCAGCTCGTTGCCTTTAACTGCTCTCTAAGGTATTGGAACTGTTGTTAAAATGAAAACTGATCAAAGCAATAAGCAAAATGCTAACCTAACAAAGTCTTCCAATTCCCATTGATGTAGCTACTGGTTGATGACTTATGCGCTTATCTTATTTTCTATCTAATGCACACCTCTATTTGATCTTTAAAAGAGTACAAAAATGTGATCTGCTGAGGATAAAATTAGCTCACTTGACTAACTTATTAATTTAATTTGTTTCAATAAAGCTCTTTGGACTGATGTTGACTGTTCTCTTTTCTTTAAACTGAACTATTCTATATAAAACTGTGTAAGGGTTTTATATTTACAGGATAACATGTTGAAATTGGATGGCAAAAAAATCTGGTGTTAATTCAAAATTCGACGAACATTACCATGGAACTGATGTTTTAAAAATAGTTAACATGTCAGGTAAATCATTTGTGAATGAATGTGGCAGAGTTAGAGATATCATGACCACATCTCTTGATTTCCTTGTTGAGTTTACTGACATTTAATCAGAGCAAGGATGTTACCTGTTTATATTATCATTAGTTGGAAATAATATGGGAAAAATCAAAAAACCAACACAAACAAAGGGCTCAACATTACCCACAAAGGCAGGTATGGAGTTGTTTTTTAAGGTTGGTACATTTTTTGTGACACTTCAATAGCAGAAAATTATTCCTTTTTGTACCTCTGGTCTGATTCAGCCCACAGGACCATTTCCGGTTCTTCACTGTCACGACGTGAAGTTTCCACACCGTAGAAGTGGTAGAACAAAGTCACATGTCGCTTGAAGGGGTCGATAATTAATAGGCAAACGTCTGCTCTCCTCTCGTCTCCCTGGGTAACATCGTCTGACTCATCCTTCAAGGATAAACAAAGTGTTTGTTGAGTTATGGGAAAGCAACAGCTATGGCTTTGCAGATTATTGATAATGGTTGTAAGATTTAAACTGAAAAAATGCAATTTAAGCTTAAATTTATAATGTAATATCTTCAAAACAGAGGCAGTGCAGTCATGATTATTCCATTCCAGTTAGAGGTGAGATTCAAATAAAATTATGTTGTGACAGACACTCAGTCCTCTTTCATATATACAGCTGACATAAAGTCTCAACCAGTAACTTACATAGGCACTGATTTAAGCACGGTGGAGACAACATTGATCTTCTCTGTGTCTGGATCCTTTTGAAACTACAAGAATAAAGCATAAAATTACAAGACCATATAAAATTACACAGGCAGGATATGTGTGTATACATGGAGATGTAGGGAAAGCTGATTTGACTAATATATTTGGACAGAATAGCATCAAAGTATGGCCCGATACTGCTCACCTGATCAGATCTTTGTACACTCGTTTCGTAGTGTTTGATGTAAGAATCAATGGTGTCTTCATACTGACAGAGCTCTCCTCCGAGACACAGGTGCTTGAAGAGGCGAAAACAGAAACTCTCCTCGCTCCCTCTTCTCCAACCACGTAGTAGTGCTCCACTGTCCTCTTCCTGCAGCATCTGGAGGAACAGAGGAAGACGTACACTGACCTCATGTCAAAAACACATAGATACAGAGAAGACAGACAGATGGAAGCAGACAGAGAGAGTCACCTGTCTGAGTTCATCATAGTCGGGGTAGACGTCATGAAAGCATTTAACTACATGTCCAGAGGCCCTCAGGATGCCACAAGAGTAGATTGGGTCAAACAGCTCCATGGAAACTTTAGTACACGGCACCACCTCCACATCGACAGACACTACTGGCTTGTCTATAACACAAAACTCAAAAACATTCCACAGAGATCTGACAGCAATTATTGTCCAGCAGATGAGACCAATTTCCTATGATCAGTGATGAAAGGCTTTCTGGGGGATATTACATACCAAGAGGCACCCAGACTCCGGCCTCCATCTTTTTCAGATTGGCAGCCACATCAGGGTCTCTGAAGAAACACTGCTCATACAGAGTGAAATCAAGAGCATTCATGTGATTATAAACACGGGAATGCATTTTATTAAAAACAGACAACCTGCAATTGTTTTTTGTTTTTTTGTGACACTGATGAACTCAATATATTTCAGCATCACT